TATTTTTATTATTTTTATTTTTATATGACACTGATGGCTTGAGATGAGGGGAAGGGCTTAAAAAGTGAGGGAACTGTGTAAAAATTTTTATTATGATTGTGTTATGTAATTTATCATTGATTACTGATTTTTATTTTTATTATTTTTGTTTTTACATGATAGCTCATTCATTCAAATAAGGGATGAGTTTAAAAAGGGAGGGATCACCTAGTTATTACGAAATGAGAAGGTTTAGGTAGGCAAAAACGCATGCGGATTTTCGGATTTTTTGGGAAATCTCGCATAACCTCCTTCTATTCTTTACCATTACGATGTACCCAAATAGTCAAATGTCAAGAAATCCATTCCGCGCGGTGATAGGTGAAAAATTTATTACGAGCGTGTTAGGTAGTTTTGTACCCAAATAGTCAAATATCCAGAAATCCATTCCACGCGATGATAGATGAAAAATCTATTACGAGAGTAAGGGGTAATTTTATGATTAAAAAAATCTTTTAAGCCCTCTCTCTTCATAATAACTAAATGATCCCTGTCTTTTTACGCTCGTCCCCTTATCTGAAGATATCAGTTGACGGGTAATTTTATGATTAAAAAAATCTTTTAAGCCCTCTCTCTTCATAATAACTAAATGATCCCTGTCTTTTTACGCTCGTTCCCTTATCTGAAGATATCAGTTGACATATAATAATAAAAATAATAACTGTCTTATAACAATAAAAAAAAAAATTAATTATCAATGATAAATTACACAACACAATCATAATAAAAATTTTTACATAACATGATGTGATCCCTACCGTTTTAAACTCATCCCCTCATATGAAGGCCTCAGTGTCATATAAAAACAAAAATAATAAAAATAAAAATCAATAATCAATGATAAATTACACAACACAATCATAATAAAAAATTTCACACAACGTATAAGATATTACTAAAATCTCAATTGAAATAACATACATACTCTCCTCCAATACCTCAAAATTTTATAGTGCAATTACCAAACTTTCTAATTTACTAATCAAACTTCTTCTCATTTTTTAACTCGTGGAAGATTTTGAATTTAATATCATAAATTTATTGTTTATTTGAAATTATATAGAGAGACATTTGAAAGACTTCTATACTAAATAGATAAAAATAAAGCTTATCATAATAAAATCATGTTATTCCAATCATATTGTTCCAATGACTTATCATGTTGAAACTAATGTCATGTTAAAAAATATGTGATTGCATATAAGTGCCAAAGACACTTAAAATAAATAAAAAATAGTATCATGATTGTAAAATGGTACAAGTTATTATTAGAAAATCTTTTTTGAATGGTGATAATGTTATTATTAGAAATCTTTTTGGAATGGTATGATGATGATTTTAATTCAATATTTTAATAAAATTTTGTGACAAAAATAAAAGAAATGATAACTCTGATTTTAATGAAATTTTGTAACAAAAAGGAAAAAAATGATAGTTTATTGACACGTGCCGGTAAAATATTGATAATGCATTTCCCATATTTCTTGTGAACATAACCAAACAAAAACAATGTATTTCGTAAGTTGCATCTAAATACTTCCAAAAGAGTAAGAATCCATTTATACATATAATATATTATACAGTAATATATTATGTTAGTAATATATTTTACAAATAATATATTCAGGTATCCAAACAACCTTTTAATAAATGTTACAAATAATAAAAACCCAACGTTAAGCTCAAAATCATTCCATCAAATGACTGGTGGCCGCGTGGGGCAGCACCACCATAGCTCGTCAAAGAGGAGGCGCCCGCCCCCGCAGCGGTGCCAATTATCAACGGGTTTTGGCCACGGCCTCCCATGCTCCCGCCAACACCAGTTCCGCTACTTCCGCTACTGTTTCCTCTGCTCCCGCCACCACCGGATCCTCTGCTTCCGCGGCTGCCTCCACTGCTCCCGCCACCACCAGATCCTCTGCTTCCGCCGCTGCCTACACTGCTCCCACCACCACCAGATCCTCTGCTTCCGCCTCTGCCTCCACTGCTCCCGCCACCACCACCTGATCCTTCAGCTGTAACTTGGACTACACTACGTAGGGAGCGGTGCAGGCTGAATCCCAAGCCGCGAACGCCGATATCTTCAGCTGCTGGATAATTCTGGTTGATTTGGTCCGAGATTATAAACATTTCTTTTGATTTTGCACTGGCCTGTTAGCTGAGATGGAAAAGAGCAGCAGAGCAATCGTCACTGCTTTTACCCCCATTTTTTAAAAAAAAAATCTCTTTCTTTTGAGTTTCTGCTGATTCCTTTTCTTCCTAGTTTTCTCTCTCCTTTGCTGCTTATTCCCTCTCCTTCTCTCTCTTTTGTTATTGAACAGATACAAAATTCTATATTTCCTATCCTTCTCGTTCCTTTTCTTGCTTCTCCTCTCTCTCTGGGTTGCTTTCTCTCTCTGAAAAAAAATGTAAGTAAATGTGGTGTGTTAGTGGGGATTAAATGTGGTCAGTTAGTGAGGATTTGGGCCCGTTGTATTTTACATTTGGTTTTGGGAAATTTTGGCGGTGGAAAGTTGCGGTTCAGGATAAGAGAGAGAAAAGATAACGAGTGGAAATTTGTCAAAACTGTATTGGTCAATATATATGGCAGTGGCATTATTGAGATATTTCAGAAATGGGTGCCGTTTGTATAGTGCCTGGGCTCTAAACAATCAAATTAGCGTCTACCCTCAAATAGTGTAGAGAAATTGGTTTTAATATTAAAAATCTTTGTGATAGTCTTAAAATATATTTTTATCTTTATTTATAAAGTTTAAAGCTTAACAAATATTATAGATCGACAGATGTATGAAAAATTTGAAAATCTTGAAAATTGACGGTCTAAAAATACATTACAAAATATATTATTTTCAAAACTTGAAATCCAATTGTTTCTCACGACCATGCATCTTGATATTGAGATGATCAATTTGAAGATACTTGAGAATAAAACAACCTCTTTGAATGACGGTTTTTAGGTAGGCTCTAATTTGATGGTTTAGAGCCTCGGCTCTATATAAACTCTTCTCTTCAAAAATTTGAGTATTCTCCTTCGGATATGTTTCATCAAACAAACTTTTAGTTTATAATTAAATTGCTGTGTGAAAAGTCTTGGTGGTCCTCAGATCGAGCTCTACATTTGGGCCAATGGGCCCAAAACCAACGGCCTAATTTGTTTGACCTCAATATCAAAGGTCCATGTCCAAAATTGCAGCTTAGAATATCCTCTAGTTTAGATCAGTGGTCGGGACTCGGGACATTACCAGTAACTCGGAACTGGCCAGGCGGGTTCAATTTTTTGAACACTCGTTTAGAGTTCGCACTTGAATCTCTCAAACCCAGTTTTAATAATAAAAAAAAGTATCCCATCCACACTTGTAAGATTTTTTTTATTTTATTTACATGAAATATGGATTTATAACTAATAACTAAAGAAAATTGATTAAAAAATATTTTTCAAGAGAAATACAATTAAAATAACCCTGATTTATTTTGATCAATATTTATGATTCAAGATATCTTTTTATTACTTTTTCCAATTGTACTTATAAAAATGATAGTCCAAATTTTATATTAATATCATTTTAACATAAAAATTAAAAATAAAATTCAATTGTTGCCCTTGGATGCCTAAACCATTAAAAGGTTCTTGAATATCTTTGTAAGCATTCGACGGCAATACCAACCCATTTTAACGATCTAAAGTTAACTAGGTTCTTTGCCTGAAGGATGCATAGTCCCACAGGACCATGCGACTAATTAATAAAACTGCACCTTACACCTCTTCGACTCAGTGGGGCAACTTTAAGCAACCACCTGTACAAAGCTTGGTTTTGGCCGGTGTTAAAAAAATCGACTCGGCTAAGGAAGTCGAGACCTGACGATTTACTCGGGCGAGTCCAAGTTGCCTCGACCGAGTTTTAAAACGTTGGTTTTGGCTATGTGCATCTATATGAATCTCCACTACAATACCATAATATACTCTAGCTAATTTATTCAAAGAGAAAAAATAATACTAATGCTAATAATTATATTTATTGAAAATAGGAAAATTTATAGTAAAAATCCTATTTTATTTAATTTTTTCAAACTTTAGAACAGAGTCTATTTCATATTTTAACTCAAAGCTCACTTTTTAAGAGCAAACTTAGTCGTGGAGCGGTGGAGGAGAAAAAGCACATATCGCAGTTGGCAAGCAGTTAGCTTAACAAGCTAAATCGAAGCATACCTCTCAAGAATACCTATCATCCGCCAGGCATCTGAAAAAGCGAGTGGAATCGCTCACTAGTTGAGTTAGAAGTCAGTCTCCTATTCATATGAATTCTAATTAGATTCATAAGAACAAGCTTCATGCAAAGACTGTGGAAAGTCTTTTGAAAAATCCCGTGTTTTGAGCCTAATCCCTAAGCAATAGCAATAGCAATTGCAATTGCGTGATGCAAAGGCTGTTTTCGCATTCCGTTAAAGGAGCCGGCGATCATTTAAATTTTGTTATTTCATCTACAGACGCAGCTATAATGTACCACGCCCATGTTGTCGTAGTCACGCCCAGTGAATCCTCCTTATATATACATGTGACTTACGGACGGTATGACCCTAGCCATCAGCCATGTCCTAGCCAGGCTTAATAAAAATAAATAAAAACTGAAAAAATAAAAAAACAATACAGGGCCAGGCAGGTCTAGATCAGCCTTGTCATGGGCCCAAGTCCAGACTGGCCTAGCCTCAAGCCATAGTTGATGAGCCTAGCTCGGCCCCAAGGCCGCATTTTGTGGCCCAAGCCCCCTTTCTTCATTACCTGACCAACGGGCCCGGAGTAGGCGACACAGTTCATTGCCAGCCCTATCCCTTCTAACCATGTAACCGTACATTCTCTTGTGCTTACATGAGAATCTACATTTGTTTTTTTTCCTCTTGGCTTGGCAAGCTCAAATCGAAATGAGCATGCATCATAAAGGCAGTCCTTTGGCAGGCCTTTGAACTATTTAAAGAGTTCCTTTATTTGAAAATGTGCCCTTTGGCATTTGCAATACATATATTAATCAACGTAAACGAAAAAAAATAGTTCCAACTCATGGTCATCTACCTTAAAAATTCGAAAAACTACAATTTAATCATTGATAAAAGAAAATAAAAGTTTACACAATGGTGATGCCCAAATTTGAGAGGGGGATATAGGGTGAGAGCTTAACGGATTGCCTCACCCCCAATCTTTATTTAATTGTTACATAAAAGAATTGTATAATATAATTACGTATTAAATAACCTCGTAAAAATCCAATAAGAAAACCCACGTTAAGCTCAAAATCATTCCATAAAATGACTGGTGACCGTGTGGGGCAGCACTATTGTTGTGGTGCGTCGAAGAGGAGCCGCTATTATTGTCGTGCCTCCAAGAGGAGGCGCCAGCCCCCGCGCCGGTGCCAATTATCAATGGGGTCCGGCTAGCTCCACCACCAGATCCTCTGCTTCCACTGCTGCCTCCTCTACTCCCACCACCGCTGCCTCCACTGCTTCCGCCGCTGCCTCCACTGCTTCCGCCGCTGCCTCCTCTGCTCCCACCACCAGATGCTCCACCTCGGCCTCCACTGCGCAGGGAGCGATGCAGGCTGAATTTCAATCCACGAAGATGGGTATCTTCAGCCACTGGAGAATTCTGGTTGATTTGGTCTGAGATTATAAACGTTATTTTTGCTTTTGCACTAGCCATGTTATCTGAAGTGAAATACGTAAAGATGCCAAAATTTTCATTTCTTTTTTGGGAACAAGTGAGGAAGCTCAGAGATTGAATTACCTGGAAGATTTTGGAGAGGAAGCTCATTGTTGGGGGCCGCTTTCAGTGGTTGGTAAAAGAGGGAAAAGAGCAGCAGACCAATCGTCGCTGCTTTCATCCCCATTTTGTTTCTCTAACTCTTTTTCTTGTGAGCTTCTCTCTCTTTCCTTTCCTGCTAATTCCTCTCTCTCTTTCCTTCGCTGCTAATTCCTCTCTCTCCCCCTTTGTTATTTCATTTCCTTCTAATTTCTTTTCTTTCTTCTCCTCTCTCTCTTTCTCTACGGCTTGCTTTCTCTCGCTAGGATCATATAAATAAGTAGAGGCCGTCGTCCGATTTGACGAAGGATGTGAAAACCGGACGCGTTTGACTCGTTCAATCATCTTCTCTTCTGCAACGTTTTGCTTTTCGGAAGCGACGGAGTAATGTTTCTGAAGGTCTGAAGCAAAAGTACATATAAACTCTAGAGAAAATTACAAAAACCCCCAAGACTATATTTTTTTATGCAACTGGCCTCCAACTTGCATTTTTCTTTCATTTTTTTCTCTAAAACAAACTTTCTATGCAAATACCTTCATGAAAAAAAAGTTCACTTTTTTTAAACGGAAATGCCCTTTTTGTACCTAAAAATCATTTTGGTCGTATTTGATGTTGACTTTTGGACCCCATTAACACATTGCAGGAGCGCACCATCACATTGTCGAAGCGCTAAATACTGGACTGCTCTAAGATAACTACCTGACTAAAACTAAGCACTATCGGATGGCTTTTCATATAGTGACGAAGTCATGGAATCCAATAATATCTACTAGCGGATCGCCTTTGCAACTGTCGAACTGCATTTTACACATTACCAGAGCCCTATTGCCAGACCGTACTTTACTGTCGGACCGTACTCTATACAGTACCAGAGCCCTAATGCAGGACCGCACATTACAAAGTACTGGAGCCCCTATTTTGGTGGGATAGAGGAGACAGAGGCGTGGGTAAAGTAAAAGTAAAGCAAATTCACCTCAAAGATTTAGAAGGATATTTATAGCGGTAGAAATATTGTTTTTAGCAACATCAGATGGCTTATTGGCAATGAAGATAACACTCTCTTTTGGTTCAACAAATGGCTTGGTGATGCGCTCTCTTCTACTTATCTTGAGCTCTTTACCAGAGTTGCTCAACCTGATGCAGAACTTTCAGAGTTGATTTCTCTTTTCTCCTCTAATTGTATGGTCTGGAACATCGTATACTGCTACAATAGGCAACCGGACATGGTTATTTCGTAGCTTCATAATCTCCTCCAACAGCTTAAACAAGTTTACTTCTCTTCTGATGTCGAAGATTTGGTCATATGGGAATCAGAAACTAACGGACCTTTTTACGTCAAATCAATGTATAGGCTCATTTTTATGGATCAAGTTTGTATTGTTGATACCATCTTTTTGCCATTGGATTACCAAAAAAAAGAGTTGTGATTTGGAAAATTTTCAGCAGTACAATCATATGGCAGATTTGGTTAGAACGTAACAGGAGAATCTTTGATGGGACTTCTCAGAGTATTGAAAGGATAAAAGATCTCATTTTACAATCTATTTAGAATTGGTTTTCCTCCACGTCTGAAGGACGAAGTGCCCTTCGGACTAATATTTATATCAATTTGAAATTTTTAGCTCATTCCTCTTCTCACTCTAGCTATCCCTTGGAACTTGGATTGCACCTCTAAAAATTTGCCTCAAACTTAATTTTGATGGCAGCTCATTTGGAAATCTAAGGCCAGCAGGTGTTGATGGGCTTCTTCGCAATAATTTTGGATTGATTTTTCTTCTTATTTGGGTCCTTGTGGGTCTACTACAACCAATCGTTTTGAATTGGCCGCTCTCCTCATATTATCATTGACAGGGGTTTCATTGGTGATATTATAATTGAAGGGAGATTCCCTAAATATTATCAAGTGGTGTAGAAAAAAGCAAAGGATCCCATGGTCTTTATTTACTATTTGGTTAAAAATTCAAGACTTATGTGTCTGGCTTAATTTGAGGATAAGCTTCGGCCACACCATGCGCAAAGCCAATGATGTTGTTGATACGCACGCTAAACATGGTATTTCTCTTCCCTTTTTACAAGTTTGTAACAATTTGATCCAATCTTTGTAATCTCATGCTGTTGAAACATTGTTTTAATAAAAGCTGATGACATTTGTCAAAAGAAAGAGTTCCTTTATTTGAATATGTGCCTCATGTGAAATACATATATTAATCACCATAAACGGAAAAAAATAGTTCAAACTCGGGGTCATCTACAGTAACAATTCTAAACAACTACAATTTAATTATTGATAAAAGAAAAAAAAAAGTTTATATAATGGTGACGCTCTAAACGTTCAAATTTACATTCAAATTTGAGAGGGGGATATGGGACTTAACTTTACGTAATATCGGAGTCCTACCTTTGCAACTGTCGGACTTAACTTAACGTAATATCGGAGTCCTACTGCCAGACCATACTATACATAGTGTTGAGCTCTACTGATGGACAACACTTTACAATAGTCCTACTGTCGAATCGTATTTTACACAGTGCGACGACCCTATTGTCGGATGATATTTTACACAGTAAGAGAGCCCCTATTTTTGTGGGATAAAGGAAAAATAGGCATTGGTAAGGTAAAAAGTAAAGATAGGCAGTTTAGGCATTTTTTTTTTTTGATTAACTGATATTAGTATAAAAATTTATTTAGGGGAAAAACGTGATAAAAAAGTTAGGTGGGTAAGTTCCCTAAATGTGTAGTGCGGTTTTTTTGTAATTATCCCAAAACTTTATGAGAAAAATAATAAAACGCCGCGGTCAACATTCGGTCTTGGGAGATTTTTTTCGTTGCAAAGTTTGGTTCGGGAAAATAGAGAATGAAAAGATAATGTTTGATTATTGAGATTTTTAAAAGTTCGAATATTCTGATCCTATTTCGTCAAACAAACCCTTCATTTTACATTAAATTTCTGTGTCAAAAAGCTTGGCGGTCCACAGATCGAACTCTGGGCCAATAGGCCCAACACCAACGGTCATTTATTTTTATAAATATAACTAAAAAAAATTATTAAAAATTTTTTTAATAGAAAAATAACTAAAATGCCCCTGATTTATTTTAATCAATATTTATGATTTAAAATATCTTTTTTTCTTATTTTTTCAAAATTTGAGAAAGCAAAATATTTGGCTGTTGAAGAGGATATTATCATATCAGGCAGTTATGTAGGTACATTATTAGTAGATTTATGCAATAGAGTGCAATGTGAGATGTGAGAACAATTTATTCAAAGACCAATTGTTATAGTTTGGTGACAGTTTAAATTATTTTGGTGGTAAAATTATTTTAATTTTTTTATGTTTAAAAGATTTTTAAAAAACAGAAAAATGAGTAATGAATGAAATTTAAAAGTATTAAAAAATAAAAGACTTAAAAGTTACTTTTAACTCCTATTTTATACTCTAACAATATAATTAGCAAGGAAAAGATAAAATAATGGTAAAAAAAATAAAACGGACATAATTTTAATTTTTAATTGGAAAGTAAAACTTAGTCACAAACTAATTTTTAAATAGAGCAAGTTGTAATTAAAGTTATAAATTCTCAAAGTAATCTGAATTAAATAAAGCTAGCTTCCTCTTTTTGCGATTACTCCCAAGTATTTGAAAACTGTAATGAAAAATTTAAAATCAGTCGCAGCTTGTCCAGTCTTCAGGATTCGGTCGAGCCGCGTACAGAGCTAAAGCTCGTAAAAAGTAGAAAAGAATTAAGAAAAATTTAAAAAAATAAAAAATAAGTATTGTCAGTAAATTCAAACCTAAAACATATTGAAAACAAGTTAAAACGACTGTAAAAAAAGTATAGAAAACATGGATTTAAAAAGGCCCAATTTACAATTTGAGATTTTATAAAAATTCATAATAAAAAATATAAAAATATGATTACAGCTAAAACAACACTCATCAATCTTTGTCAAATACATCTAAATCATATTAAAAAATTGCATAACATAACTTTACTTTTTACAATTTTTATATTTTTGAATATTTTAAAAGGATTGTATACAATGAGACCATTTACCTTTGGTACATGGTGGTCACAATTCCTTACAACCATTTGATGTGAAATTTGATAGCTTGGATGTGTCTAAGTTCAAGAAAATTTATGTTGAAGTTTGAGCTTGGTCAATAGAATAATTGCACCCACCCAACTTCACATTCAATAGTCATGATTATTGTGACCACCTTGTATCAAAGGTAATTGGTCTCATGCTATAGTTTCTTTTTTTTAAATACCCAAAGATGTCACGCAACTCAAACGTACTCAGCCGTGCCCATAGGGTGATGCCAAGTACCAGTGGACTACGCGGAGTCCTGATACAGTGGATACAAGCATGGTGAGATTATGCCCTTAAGAGATAGTGAACCTAACGATGTTTCTATTACACATCTAAAGTTCAATGTGAGACGTCCAGCACTGACCAAGTGGACGAGGTAGCCTAATTAGGCAGCAATGCCAAACTTCTTCCACTTACTCTAAGGGCTTGTTTGATAACCGGAGGTAAATGTCCCCAAGAAATTGAAAGTTATATTTTTTTGGGAAGAAAGAAGTTATTTATTAAGGAAGTTTGGAGTGTACATGTTTGATAGCTCGTTGAAATGTTAAAGAAATTCTAGGCGCACCTAAGTTTCACAACCTATTGGAATATAGAGTTATATTTATTTAAATACTATTAAAATATTACATATTAAATATTAATTTTATATTAGACATAAAATAATATATAATATATAATATATAAATATATATCTTACATGTAATATATAACATAGTATAATATATAACATCGTGTATTTTATAGTTAGTCGTGGGTAGGCAAAGGCACACAGGGGATAGGA